AATGGAGCGTTTTTAAAATGGCCGTTTTAGTAGGTAATCTGAATTTTTCTATATGCTTATTTTTGCTTCTGGACTACTTTTGACAGTGTTAGGATGCTCGTAAAAGATTAAAACGTCTCTTTTAAAATTTTTGGAAAGTTTTTTGTTGCAAAATTTAAAATGACAATCGTTGAAGAAATGAAAAAACGACATCTTTAAGATGTCTTTCTTAAGACGCTTTTGGGATGTTCTAAATATGTCTTTCTTAAGACGTTTTTAAAACGTCTAAAGAAAGCGCTCATGTATGTACGTGGCTTGCGCATGTGTGCGGTATTCCCTCCCTCATGCTGTTTGCTGCTTGCGTCTCAAATCTGGAGTCACTGTTTTTCAGTACAACATATAATCGACGATGCGTCAATACGAGACGAAAGCGTGAGATGAAGCTCACTGTGCAGTTAAATTATAGTTTTTTTTATTAGGTGTAAAAGAAAAAAACTGCATTCTTCACGTTGCACCAAGAAGAAGGGCCCGACAGCCACGCATATGTCTAGGCTTGGTGATGTTCAGGTAGTGGCCCCAGAACAAGCAAAGAGGGTGACCACTATTGCCATCGCTATCACCACCACAACCATCACTACCACCTCCGCCTTCGTTACTACCACTACTACCACTATCACTACCACCACCACCACCACCATCACCACCACCACCGCCGCTGTCGTCGCTGCCGCCGCCGCCGCCGCCGCCGCCGTCGCCGCTGCTGCCGCTGCTGCTGCAGCTGCTGTTGTTGCTGCTGCTGCTGTTGTTACTGCTGTTGTTACTGCTGGTGCCGTTGCCGCCAACGTTGATTTCGCGACGGTGCTGGAGTACGCGAGCGCTGCCAGGCGCTCCAAGCTGGCTGTGGATACCGCGCAATTGGACGAGATTGACGTATTCAAAAGAGACAAGAGCATCATGACGGACACGGCGGCTCCCACTGCAACCGACACGCAGAAGCGAGCCAACTTTTCGGCGTTGACAGTTAGCAATCCGAACGGCGTGAATAAAATCTCGCCGAGTTTAGTGAACGCGAAACCTGGCTCTGCGAAAAAGCTCGTCATCAAAAACTTCAAAAGTAAGCGAGAATATGCATCGACCTAACCTAATCTCGAAATCAGCTGCTGACTTCCACAGTGATATCGCTGAAATATGTTTCGATCTTTTGTCCTATTTGTATCCCATTTCGAAATCTACAATCTCTGATCTCTGATCTTTCTCTTTCTTTCTCTCTTTCGGCGCAATTTATTTTACAGCTTCTGGGATAAGAAATGTTATCATTTTCTTTTTATGACCTAACCTAATACAGAAATGAGAATTGCTCGAGAATGTCAAAAACTTATTTACAATTTACTTACAATACCTACTTACAATTATTAGGTTGAAGGTACATTAAATAACCTATAAAAAAAGAGAATTGCTTGAGAAAGCAGGTTTTCTTAATGATATTGATATTTTGCATCACTGAACATGGATTTTTACTATTAGTTGCGACGCTTGATACACGATTCGCACGACGCGCAAGGAGCATATATGGAATTAAAGTTAAATTTCTATAATGAGAGATTTATTATTGCGTGTTACAATCTTTTTAGATCATTCAAAACTTGAAAATCTTTGAAAATCTTTGAGAAATGTAGAAATATTTGCATACTTTGTCATCATTTACGTTTATTATACACATACATTGATATATAAGATGTATTATTTATTGTACCATTTATAAATGTATGGAATTCTTTGAAGATAGAAATACCATTAATATATTATACAAAAATACAAGTATATTGGATATAATTAAAGTGTATATTATATAGTATAATAATTGTTTTAAATTTTTTATACAAAGTAGCAGTTTTAGTTATCAATCTAATCTTCTTACTTTATTTGTCTTTTCATATATTGATTTTTTATTGATGGTTTTTTTTACAGATAAACCCAAATTACCAGAAAACTATCAAGAACAGACATGGGAAAAATTACAGGAAGCTGTAGTTGCGATACAAACTAGCAAAAGCATTCGCTACTCTTTAGAAGAGCTTTATCAAGCAGTTGAAAATATGTGTAATCATAAAATGGCGTCGACTCTTTACGCAAACTTGACTATTCTGACAGAATCTCATGTGAAAGCTAACATCGAGCAGTTTTTGGCAGAGTCTATGGATAGGCATATATTTTTGAAGAAGATGAATGAATGCTGGCTGTCGCATTGCAGACAAATGATAATGATCAGGAGCATCTTTCTGTATCTCGACAGAACATATGTTTTACAAAATCCAAGCATTTCGTCGATATGGTAACAACACAAATATTGCCAAAAACATCTCTTAATCAATTTGTATTTACTCGATTTATTGTTTGCAGGGATATGGGGTTGCATCTCTTCAGGTTACACATTGTGCTGAACAATTTAGTGCAAACGCGCACAGTCGAGGGTCTTCTTATGCTCATAGAAAAGGAACGACAGGGCGATACTGTAGATCGAACACTTCTTAAGTCATTGTTAAGAATGTTGTCAGATCTACAAATTTACCAAGAGGCCTTCGAAACAAAGTATGTGATCAATTCTTTGAGAATTCCGCTTGTTTATCAATGAACGCATTCACGATATTGACTCATTCATATGTATGTCGATGTCTATCGATAGCGATAAATCGTTACAACTTGCTGTTGCTACAGAAAATTCAAGTTTATTGTATTCGTGTAGCTTGTTTTCAAATATCACCGCAAAATCTTGATATGTGGATATCGCAAACATGCAATTTTATCTTCTGTTTCATTTCTATTTAGGTTCCTAGTGGCTACAGAAAGATTGTACGCTGCTGAGGGTCAACGATTGATGACTGAGCACGATGTTCCTGAGTATTTGGCTCATGTGGATAAGCGTCTGCAGGAGGAAAACGAACGATTGTTGCATTATCTCGATACATCCACCAAGTAGGTTTTCTTATCGTTCTCGCCCGTATGACTCTTAGATGCTTTTGTGTAGAATTAACTGGAATATTAATAATTAAATTAATTACATTTTTATAAATAACTTTTTAGATGGTCACTCATACATACCGTAGAAAAACAATTACTGTCCGAACACATTACTAGCATTTTACAAAAAGGTTTAAGTGGACTGCTGGATGAAAATAGGATTAGCGACTTATCATTGCTTTATAATTTGTACAGTCGAATAAAGAATGGTCTTGTGGAACTCTGTTTGAACTTTAACTGTTATATCAAGGTATGTTACATTCTTATTACACTGATACAATAGGCACATCTCTTAAATACATCTCTCTTAAAGAAATTATAATGTCTGTTTTGTCTTTCCTTTTTTTCTATCTTTTGTTTCTTCTTTTTTTTTACAGAAAAAAGGCAGGACAATAGTTATAGATCCCGAGAAGGACAAAACGATGGTACAGGAGTTGTTAGATTTCAAGGATAAAATGGATAATATAGTTAATACATGCTTTCATAAAAATGAAAAGTTTGCAAATAGTTTAAAAGAAGCTTTTGAAGCTTTCATTAATCAAAGAGCAAACAAACCAGCGGAATTAATAGGTAACACACACCATGTATTATATTTAATTAGTTCGTAAAAATTAGTATGTAAAAATATTCAAATACAATTAATGATTATTTACAATGGTTGTTCAGGCAAATAGTTATGTTATCTCGGTTGCGATGTTAGCTTCGTGATGCTCAAGATTAAGTGCATATTCGAACGAATTAAGAGAAATTTTTATTTATAATTTCAGCTAAATTTGTCGATTGCAAGTTACGCGCAGGTAACAAAGAAGCGACAGAAGAGGAATTGGAAAGATTGTTGGATAAAATTATGGTGCTCTTTCGATTTATTCACGGAAAGGATGTTTTCGAAGCTTTTTACAAAAAGGATTTGGCCAAGCGCTTATTGGTGGGAAAGTCGGCTTCCGTAGACGCGGAAAAATCAATGTTATCAAAATTGAAACAGGAATGCGGCGGTGGATTCACTAGTAAATTGGAAGGAATGTTCAAAGATATGGAACTTAGCAAAGATATTAATATCGCATTCAAACAGGTGAGAAAAGTAATATACCTGCGTGAAAGAATCTACATAATTTAATTATTCGTACAAATCATTCAACTTTTTATATTTGTGTCTGGCATATTCAATGCTGAATATGAAATACAACACATTATCCACACTCGAGCCCGACATTTTTGTTTATCTTTTATCGGCGAAATCTATAACGCAATGTGTCGTCTCACCCGTTTGTCGTGTCTTTAGTATGCAGGAAACTTACAGAGCGAATTAATGGCAAGTAGTTTGGACCTGACTGTCTCTATACTTACTATGGGATATTGGCCTACGTATCCTGTGATGGAAGTCACTCTACCGATGGAAATGGTGCAGTATCAAGATGTATTCAACAAGTTTTACTTGGGAAAACATAGCGGTAGAAAACTGCAGTGGCAGCCGACCTTGGGACATTGTGTATTAAAAGCGTGGTTCAATCAGGTATTGGAGAAAAAAAAGAGAAAGAAAATTCAAGAAAGTTGCTTACAAATTGATATCTCAATTATCAAATAATGTCATTAACGCAAGTATATTTCGCATGAAAATAGGGTAACAAAGAGCTGCAAGTGTCGTTGTTTCAAGCGCTGGTTTTAATTCTGTTCAACGATTCCGACAATATCTCTCTGGAGGACATCAAGGCTGCTACAAATATCGAGGACGGCGAATTGAGAAGGACATTGCAGTCCTTAGCATGTGGGAAAGCTCGTGTTCTCCAAAAGAATCCGCGTGGTCGAGATGTCGCTGATAACGATAGATTCGTATTCAACGCAGAGTTTACGAATAAACTCTTCAGAATTAAGATCAATCAGATTCAAATGAAGGAAACGGTACTGAATCGAATAGATTTTGTATATTGTTTTCTTTTAATATTTGCATCATAATAAACTTGTATTATGTAATGTAAAATGGTTTCAAATGTTTGTGTGTGCTTTCAGATTATAATTGGAATTTTTCTTCTTTCAGAATGAAGAACAAAAGGCGACGGAAGAGAGAGTATATCAAGACAGACAGTATCAGATAGATGCCGCTATTGTCAGAATTATGAAAATGAGAAAAACCTTGACTCATAATCTTCTTATCAGTGAATTATATAATCAATTAAAGTTTCCTGTAAAAGTATGTATATATATATTAATTTTTTTTTTTTTTTATATTTATATCATGTATAAAGTTATCTTAAGGAGAATCAGATGGTGGCAAATGTACAAATAAATAAATAATATATATATATTTATTGTGCACTTGCCACCGCTTGATTCTCAGTTTGATATATACATGCGCATAGAGTATGGTGTCACATTCGTGTCAATTTACCAAACATTTATTTTTCAGCCTGCAGATTTGAAAAAACGGATTGAGTCTCTTATAGATAGAGACTACATGGAGCGAGACAAGGATAATGCAAATCAATACAATTACGTTGCGTAACCTAAAGCAAATGCCAAAGTTTCATTGAATCATCGGATCGATGCTGATTTCTCTAGCAAATTGAATTTATCACCATCGGTGTTTGTCTATTGTGAATGTGAATGGGTTGTAGTTCAAGCAAGAAACTCCATAACTGATCTGATTGTCGGCGCGTTATGAATTATAACGTTACCGACGCGTGTGGTCAGTTCGTACAAAGGGAAAAAAAAGAAACTCAACTCAGTGAATTTCCCCGTTTTGGTTTTCGTAGTGCATGAGAGATAACGAATGGTTGCAATCCCTCTTTGAACAGTGGTGTGTCATTTCTGAATTTTACAAAAAAGAAAAAAAAAAGAGAAAAGAAAAAAAGGACCATAGGCAGAGTATCCTTGATAACACGACGTTCTAAAGTCTAACAATTTTTTATGCAACGCAATTTTTCACAGCATATTTACAATTAAAAAGATGTAACAAAGGATGCAAGATGTAGTATACATATTGTAACACTACTATAAAAATAGAGAATAAGAGTGCAATTGCAATACAATTAGTTGTTTCAAGAAGTGAACAACAGCGCAGTATTTATAACAAAAATAAAAAAAATGTCTGTAGACTACGTCTACGTATATGCGTCGTGATATTTTGAAGTGCAAATTATTTCCGCTGCATCTTCACTTGCCTTTCTCATGTATGTAAACGAAGAAAGATTGAAAACATTTTTCCTGATCTTTAAGTTAGGCAAAATACAGGCAAAAGTTGATAATTTTAATCAAAAATATAATGTACAAAAAAAAAAAAAACAAAAAAATAAATCGCGTAATGAAAAAAAGGATGAAAATATATCTAAAAATATCTAACGTTTCATCATAAATCAAAAAGCTCTAGTTACGCATGGCGATATATAAAGATGAATAAAATTCCAATACGCAAAAAATATACCGCATACACGCATATATCATCACTGAGAATTTAAGGTTTTACGCGAGAATAAACGATCGTTCAATGGCTTGTTAAATCGTCTCGTGTATTTATTACAAACTATATATAGATTAACGAATGGATTAATTTTACAAGAATACATTTGGAGATGCTTACGGAGAGTTTCAACGTCCGCTCGTTTAATCCGTGAAGCCTCTACACAAAAAACGCAATACAATGTAAACGCGTACTGGGAGACACGATTCAACCGACTCGACACGTGTCGTTTGCTCTCTTCAATCGAGAAATGGCACCATCAACGAAACAGCGTTTTGGCATGTCACTTACCGTTCTTCCAGAAGAAGATAGCTTTACATGTTGCCATGTACAGAATTTGTAGGAATAACCTCAGGAAGTGAAGGTAGAGTATGCAAACCTTATCTTCTCACATAAATTATTCTGTAGTGCGTTTTTTAACTATATGTACAATATTAAAAAACTTATTTTTTTTTTGTAATAATTCATAAATCTGTCAAAATTGTACATAGAGAGTAAGAGGGGCCCTGTACTTAAAATAAAATACAACTAAGGAGAAAAAAATTAATGCCACTCAGTAATGTCATTACAATTTATTTATCTCGCAACGTAAGAATTTGATTTGTGAAACGAAATGAAAAAAGAATTTGTACATCCATTTTTATCGTAATTATTTTCCAATAACAAGTTTTCTCGGATCAATTTTTTTTCGAATACAAAAACAAGATACTTTTCAAACAGCAAAGGTTACGAAAAAAAACATTTTTTTTTATTGAAATTCAGATCTCGACATTTAATTTCGATGCTGAAGACTCGATTGTGATATTTTGGAAAATTGCCACGCACATGCGTTAAACTAGAAACGCGCGCGTCTAAAAAGTCTAATATTAAAAAGAACATTTTCCACATTAAAAACAACTCTTGAAAACAACTTGTATATTTCATTACTATTTCTAATTTTATAAAAATGTTACACACCAATTCACCGCGAATTATTCCGCAAAATTCCTCTGAGCTATTATACACTCACTTCATCTCGTCACATTATTTTATCGTTTGTATATGTACATTCTTCATATCGATTTCGTTGATCAACGACTTTGCAAATGTAGCAGCATTAATTTCTTTATGCAAGAAATCCGATACCAACTGCGACGCCGGTTTACCGCCTCCGTGCGCTAAGCACTCTCTTCGATAACGTTCGCCCGCTGACCGACAGAAAGGATTATCGTGGAAGTAGGTTTGCCAAATCCAGGCTGCTATGGCACGAGATATCAAGTAAGAGTAATATTTCGCGCCGTATCCAACCAAGTGAGAGAATCTCAATTGCCATGCCTGCAAAAATCAATAAATTAGCTACACACATACAATTTTTCATGGAGCAAAATTTCAAGTTGAACCACTCGTGATGGAAACGAACGAAACGCACAAATACATACCGTATCTTTCACGTAAGGAAGACCATAATATTCTTTCTGCACATCCGCTAAAATTTGGGTGGTGGATTTCGTTAGTTCGCCGCTGTGATAGACTTGATCTAGCATACTGTAAAACACTTGATTCTGCAGTTCCGAGGCGCAGAAGATATTCTTCGAAGCACACAGCGTGCGCAACAACTTTTCTGGGATGGGCTCTTGGGTTTGAAAATGTTTCGCAAATTTCGATACAACCTGCAGTCACATGGATTTAGAATCGAAATGCTTTCACGACATTCGAACAGCTGCTCCGCTTGTAATAATTTGTATCGCATCGCGTCACATATTCGTACGAATATTTACCCTTGGATCACTCGCAAAATATTCCATTAGCACGCTCGGCACTTCGGCGAAATCTGTACTGCATCTAGTCCCAGTTACATGTTGATACTTCGTCCGACCGAACATGGAGTGCAACGCATGTCCCATTTCATGAAACAAATTGTCCACGGATGAAGGCGTCAACAAGCACAAATTCGACAAACGTGGATGCGGCAGTGACAGCATGAGTACAACTATAGGTATCTGAAAACGACCAGAGAGACTGTGCTGCGATTTTTACAATTTTGCATATAATTGCGCGAATTACGTAGAGATATACAGCTCGCAAGTTCGAAGAGTCAATAATGTCGAACGACGTATGACCGGCGCGCGCCGGTTTATACCTGATAAGTACCGTCCGGTAACCGCTTTCCGCCTTGGATCGTAAAGTGACAGTCTTGATTCGGCTTTCCTGCTCTTTCGTAGAAATCGCAGTAAATGTAACCTAAGATTCCCTCCTCCTCGTCTATCACAGCTAACTTGTGAATGTTATTAGCCCACACCTCCCCGGCTAGCACTGAAACGGATTTCAGCTCGACTCCGTACAACGATCGGGTAAGAATATTCAAACCCTCCATACAGGCGCCGATGGAAAAATACGGAGCGAATTCAGTCGCGGAGGTGTCGAACCAAGCCTTCTTCGCCTTAGCCGTCAAGTAAGCGGTATCCCATGGCATCAATGCTCGCTATTTGGTGATTCAGAGAGAGAGAAACATTTCAAAACTATAAACTTTACATTTATAAATACAACGAGATACAAAGAATACCAACTTGTTTCGCAGGTGACTCAATATCCTTCATCATTTGCATTTCTCGAAAGTCCAGCGCCGCTTTAGGTTGCAAATTGTCGTTCAGTATGTCAAGAAATTCCCTCACCACAATCGGCGATTCAACCGTGCTCCCTTTTACAGCTCTGTAACAAATAGGATCGTCGACTCGACGCACATTTGTACATTCGTATATCAAATTACCTCTGTGCGTAGGATACAAATCCGCAAGATTTCGCTAGCGAGTGTCTGGAATTTAAGAGCTCGCGCAAAAGGTACTCTTGTTGTTCGTCCGGATATAGAAACAGTTTGTATGCTGCTTCGCGGACAGCGGTATTGGAGGAGTCTGTGTAAAATCCTTGCACTAATATCCGGCCATTTTCCGTTACAAAACTGCGAAATGTATCCAATGTCAACGAGATACTTTTCTAAAGATTACACCTTCGAAAAGTTTGGAACAAAATAAAATTCAGTCCAACAGTTGATTGATTGAATCACACTTACTACTGTTTGATAACGTCGGGTAACGCGTCGGCGTTGACAGTCCTTGGAGTAACAGCGCCGGCCATAAACTTTTGACCCACCTATGAATCGAAAAAGAAAAAAAAAAAGATATATTTCCAAATTTGACAACAAGAATATTAATTGTCGTGTAATATTCACTTGCAAAATATAATCATTCAGTTCGACTACTTTTCTCCTTTGCCTTTCAAGCAAATGTATTCCACATTGTTCAAAATCAAATAAAAATAATTCAGCCACGTGATCGTCCATGTCCGATGTCACTCGAATATCACCGTTGCTTGTCACTCGTTTCAGAGAATCATACAACTCACGATGTGTATTCAACCTGTGCAATATCGAGTTTAGAAATACAACCGTCACATTCTACAAATCATGTGTATCAATAAACAATATGTCCATGTTAAATAAAAAATGTTGAATTTTCTCATTGCACTCTAGACATTACATCAAAATTACATTTTTTTTCTATCCAATATAAGAAAGTAAATGCAAAAAGAAGAGAAATTTAACTGTGTTCTTTAGGATAGAAGAAAAAAAATACCATATGCATTTATAAGATGCAAAACCAATGGACAAACCTCTGTGCAATAATGAAATAATATAATACAATTGTAAAGATAAACTTACCTTTCGACTATACCACTGACAGTTATGCAAGCATCTTCAGCAGCACGTACATATCGTGGATCAGGATGTGCCACTCTGATAAATTCTGCCATATCCGCTACTTTACACAATGTATTGGATAATTCATCAAATATTTCTACCATTTTTCTCTTCCGGTCTTTACACGTAGCTTCTTCGATGAGAACATCTACTTGCGACAAGGCACGATTCTTCAATATATCAAAGCCATCCTCGCTTTTCAGTTCCAGAATACCAAACAGTCCCTGTAAGATATATTCGAGTGATAAAACATACGATAAACTAATTATGCATTAATGTATAAAGATATATAGTTATTTAAATTTTGCCCACTATTCTTATCTCAATGTCGTCGAGAATATATCAGTTTTATCCATCGCGTTGACATTCGGCAATCGAGTTGAGATAAATATACAATACATACTTACTGTTTCCTTTTTTGATACATTTACTGCATGAACGTCATCAACAACAGTGGAATTAAACGCTGTCGCGAGGGGTGACCACGTGTTTAACCCTTTGCCACCAAATATATTTTGAAATATTTGTCTCCTAAATGTTTGTAACATCTTGTAGAAATGCTAAGATTATATCATGGAATAAAATTAAAGAGTCAAGACAATCAGACATACATATGTTGTATGCATAGGTAATTATTTAGAATAGCTACCTCACCTCCAATTTTGATAA